CTCAGATGGTCAGAGTGTGTCCTCTTGATGACTCTTTCCAAGCCACAGAACCTGTGTAATGTGTTAGTTCCTCAGCTTCTCATATCTCCAAGGCACCATTAGGTGCTTTATGCATACACCTTTTGCAATTACCTTTTGGGAAGATATATTAATTTTTATTGTACAGAACAAAAGTGAGTTCAGAAAGCTTATGGAATTTGATCAAGGCTACACTGTAATAAAGTCTTATTCAAACCCAGGTCTTCCTGACTCAAAAACCCAGATTCTTTACACCAAGTTGCTTTGCCTAAGAGGCAGAAGCAATATTAAGCATATTGACTGTCAACATTCAGGTGCCAAATGAGTTTATCATTTGTATAGACTGAAGTGTGTCTCTGTCTGGTTCTGCTGTTGTCCCTTTCAGTGGTTCTGGGCCTTGGTGCCCTTGGACCCCTCTCTGTTCAATGTCTATTCCTCTTCAGCATGCCAGGCACAAAAACCTGCCATCCAGGAAAGTCAGCAGAGATGACTACAAGCCTCTGCTAATTCCTCATTAGCAGTTCACAGCTGAGACTAGCAAATCATCAATCCCACCAGGTGCTCAGTGTCCTTCACCTCCTCCAGGGGTTCACAGAAGAGACCCATAAATTCTTCTCATCCACACCTGTTCTCTCCCAGCCTTACCACAGGGGTTATCTTCAGAGCTTCCAGGTCCTGGGTGCATGGACTATTGAATGGATAAACTGGAATAGCAAAGATAGTAGCAAGTTGATGTACAGAGACCGGATGCCCATTCTACGCTCTTAATCCCACCTCCACAGAAGAGAGGTGAGAGGCCCCTCACATCAGCTGAAGAAATTCCTCACCTGAGATCAGCCACACCCTAGACAAATTTTCAACACTTTTCAGCTGGTCACCTTCTCTGTCTCCTACCTAGATAGTTTCCACACTGAGCCAAGCCCTGAAGGTCCCTCTTAAAGGGTCAATCCCCAAGGAGATGCCCCAGAAGCCCTCTATGCCTGGTAGGAGTGAGTTGCTCGGTCTTTTCAGAGAACATCTTTTGAGATGCAAAGCAGCACATGCAGTGGCTGGCCCGTATTGTGGGTAAGTCAGAGAACTGGGGCAGAGGCAACATCTCTCCTCTTTTCCTCTCTCTCCATCGCAGGATCAGAATGATGTGGACAGTGGAGATTGAGGGTCAAAAGTAGGGAGTAGAAGAAAAATGCCACCAAATTCCCCATTTTGTTATGAGAATTTTCAGTCTGTTACTTAGAAACAGTCTTGTGCTCAGTCTCTTTCTGTTGGTTGGTTCTATTGACAAAGGAAAGTCTTTAATCTAACCTGAATCTTTCAGCAAATTTTATTTCAAACTCAGGACCATTCTGGTTTCAAGCATCCTTGCTTCAGTTCCTAACTTATCCTCTTCTTCTCTCTCTCTCTCTTTCTCTTTTTTTTTTTTTTAATGAAGATTGTATATTAAAGGCCTGTTGATTAGATTATAAAACAGAATTGAGAATGCAGTGGAAAAAGAGTCAAGAGAAATGGACTTGAAGGAGTTTCAAAAGTGATAAAGATAATAATAATGACAGCAACATTTTACATATTTAACATATTTGAGGCATATATCATGTTTCAGTTACTATTGTAACTTATTTAATTGATTTACATATATAATGTAAATACATAATGTTATATAGTCCGTACAATACTCCTGTAAAGTCGGTGTATTTATTTTTATTCCCCAATTCAGAGATGAGGAAATTGAGGCACAGAGAAATTGAGTAGTTTATCCAAAGTCACACATTTTGTATGTGGCAGAGCTAGTATTTGAACCAGGATAATCTGTTTCCAGCGATCGCCCTGGATCTTATGCATGCCAAAGAGGGGATAAAGAATAACAAAAATGACAAAAATGTAAATTGGAGCATTTTCCTTCCACTCTTACATTCTTCTAGGGAACAAAATAAGTGTAGGGACCATATATTCTGACCAAATCACAGTTAAGAGTGATTAATCAATGTACCCTAAAATACATAGCAAATCAGACTCAGTAGAGATTGCCCAAGTTTTATGAACTCTTTTCACAGCACTTTCTGTTTTCCATTAATGCTTCCAGCTGTACATGAAATGATTTTTAGAGGGAATGCCCTGACTTTCAAGCTCTCTTAGGATGCAAGACAATTTGAGTTCCAGGCTAGAAGTCAGGGTCACTCTGAGCCAGTTCAACAGACAAAGGAGGGGGAGGATGACATTGGTGTGACCACTTGCCTGGAGCACCATTGGGGGGGGTGGGGGCAGATGGTCGGGGACACATCTCTGTCTGCAGCTGATTCATGCAGACTTCTGTGCCACCAGTGCCTCCAAACACATGCAGCAGGAAAGGGAAGTGCACTTGTAAATGGACTCAGAATGAGGCACTCATAGGAGAAGTGGAAGCCCAGAGTCACATGGAGCTGCAGAGTATGTGATTGGCAGGGCACTTGTTCTCCAACTAAGAAGAAAATTGCCATCATGTGAGAGGAACAGCTCCATACTGGGATGTAGGAGACCTTGTTCCTAGCCCTAGCTTTATGTGACCAGGGTGGTGACATCCTTTCTGATCTAGGAAAGGGTACAAGATGATGGGAGACCTGTGCAGTAGCATCACCGCCAAGGAGCTGTATCAGGACTCTGACCCACAGCTCAGAGATTGTCTATTCCTGGGAGCACAGAAAGAGCAGGGATCCCATTATACTTCCTCCTCCTCAAGTTTCTTTATGAATTTCTGATTTACAGAGGAAGCTGAGCTGAGTGAGGCCTGAAGATGAGGCGAACTGAGAGAAACAGGACTGCAGAGGCCACAAGAGCAGGCAGGTGAAAGGGCGAGAAGGCTGCAGCTGTGCTTGCAGGGAACAGGATATGGGGTAGAGACAGAGGCTGGAGGGTGGAAAGGGTATCACCAGCTTCCCCCTCCTCCCCTTGATTGAACTTATGGGAACAAATGGAAGGATCAGAAAAGCATGGGCTGTGGGCAGGGTGGGAGTGGGAAGTTGTCCTTGGAATCTTTCCAAGAGGAACTGTGCTAGCTATCTATGCCTGCACCCTGAGTGCAGACCTCTGTCTGGGTACAAGCTGTAATTGCCCTGTGGTGTGGGGAGAGATGTTCCCAGGCTGAGGGAGTTGACATCTTCCTTCCTTGGTAAAGGCTGGGCCTGTCTTGTGGTGAGCTGGGCCCTGGAAGGATGCTCCCAGGGTCCCTAGGAACCAGTAGGGCCCCCATTGTGGGGAAAGTAAGGTGGGCCCCATAGCTAGGCAAAATCTCATCCTTCGGGAGGAGCCTCTGGTTCCCAAAACAGCAAGACTTCCAGGTGGGAAAGTCCAATCTGGTGTATTATCTGTCTGTACGATGCAGGAGTTGGGGTGTGAGCAGGAAGGGACAGGAGACAATGCTGCAGAGAGGGCTGGGGCTTTGCAGGACTCACCAGGGCGTCATTCAGGACCAGAGACCCTATTCTCTGCTGACCTGCTTCTGGTTCCTCACTCCCAAGGACCACCGAGCACACCAGATTTTTTTCTCTCATGAAGTTCAATTACAGACTGTGGCCTTAAGTGGAATATGAAAAGCTCACCCTAGCTTAGAGTTTTCTTCCAAGCTGTTCTTCACCCACTTAAAATGAGGTAAGTTAAGTACCCCCACCCACCCACCCACCACACACACACCCATATCTTTCACATCACCACCATTTTAACCTGCTCCCAGTGCATTGTGATTGTGGAGTCTAACCCCTGTCCCTTCTCCTGCAGTCCAACTGTGATGCTATGCTGTCAGAACTTCCCCAGCCTTTCTTTGCACATTGATTTCAGTACAACACAAAGGGACTTTCCATAGAATGAGAACTGGGGATGAATGTCTGTACTGGGCAAAGTATAGATGTGTAGTGGTCCAGAGCTGGAGGGAGGTATGTCAGAGGCCATGGGCAGCTGGATAAAGGTACTGTATGGATGGGGAGGAATGTAATGTCTGGAAGAGCAGATCTGAGCTAATAAAATGTCTTCTATAAAAGGATCTTGGAAGAGGAGCTTTGGCTGAGTATCTGTCAGTAAATGGAGTTGAAAATAGCCATTCCACACTTCCTTTCTTCTGACTTGCACATCCCCCAGGGAAGAGGGAATACAGGGGCCACCCTACAGTTGCAGAAATTGGGTTTAAATAATACAAAAGCCTTCCTGTGATACAAGTGTTCTGGAAAAAATACACCCCTGTGTCCCCATGTGCATGAATGAGGAAGGGACAGTCCATCCAGAGGAGAGGACTGTCGGAAGAGGATGCTTTTAGTCAGGTGAGTTTTTATTCAAGTCTTTCCTATTCTATTTACTAGCTGTGTGACTCAGAACAGGTCTGTTAAATTCTCAGAAACAAAATTCCTTGATCCATCTTACGGGAATTTTAGCAAACCCATAAGACAACAAAGGAATCTATGTTGTTGTTGTCATGTGCTGTCGAGTCGGCCCCGACTCATAGCGACCCCTCCTTGGCTTTCCCAGGCAGTACCACTATGGAAACAGATTGCCCCATCTTCCTTCCAAGGAGTGGCTGGTGGGTTTGAACTGCTAGCCTTCTGATTAGCAGTCATGTGCCTTAGGCTCTATACTACCAGGCCAAATCCCTAACACAGTGCCTGACCCAAAGATAAAAACTTGTTGCTGTGGAGTTGATCATTACTTATGTGATCCTGGGTGGTAGAAATGATTAACATGCTTAGCTGCTAACTGAAGAGTTGGAGGTTTGAGTCCACCCAGAGGCATCTCAGAAGAAAGGCCTGGCAATCTACTTAGGAAAAATCAGCCATTGAAAACACTATGGGGCACTCTTCTCTGATACAAATGATGTTGCTATAACACAAAAGGTGACACTCAGCAAATACTATAGCTTCCTAAGCCCTGATTCTCACCCCATCTATCTAAAATCTGAGGAGAGCTTGTGGTTGCCTCTCACGACCCCCTTTATGCCCCACAGGCACAGAGCCAGGTGCAACCAGGAGATGAGGCTGGATCCTGTACTGACTACTCTCAACCAGACTGTGCTTCTTTCTGGGCCAGGGCCCTTTGTCTTGCTGGGGGTGCCCGGACTGGAGGCCCTGCATGCCTGGCTTTCTGTGCCTGTGTGCCTGCTATACATGGCAGCTTTGGCAGGGAATGTCCTTCTACTGGGCCTGGTAGCAGCTGACAAGACACTTCAGTCACCCATGTACCAGCTGCTGGGACTTCTGGCATTTGCTGACTTGGTTTTGGCCACGACCACAGTGCCAAAAGCACTGGCTGTGCTCTGGGGTCTTTCTGGTGAGATCTCCTTTGGGGCCTGCTTAGCCCAGGTCTTTGTCACCCACGTGGCCTTTATTGCTGAATCCTCAGTGCTGCTGGCCATGGCATTAGACCGCTATGTGGCCATTTGCCAGCCTCTGCACTATGCTGCATTACTGACCCAGCGGGTGGTGGGCATAGTGGCTGTAGCTGCCGTGGCTCGTGGTGCTTGTGTCATGGCACCCCCTGTGGCCCTGCTCCAAAGGCTGCCTTACTGTGGGCGGCGGGCACTGCCTCATACTTACTGTGAGCACATGGGTGTGGCTCGGCTGGCATGTGGTGACACTCGCCCCAACCTCTGGTATGGCCTGGTCACCACACTGCTTTCCCCAGTCCTGGATCTTGGGCTCATAGGTGCTTCCTACGCCCTCATTCTCCATGCCGTGTGCCGACTGCCATCCCATGGGGCCCGCTGCAAGGCCTTGGGCACCTGTGTGGCCCATGCCAGTGTCATCATTCTCTTCTACACACCTGCCCTCTTCTCCTTCCTGGCTCACCGCTTTGGCCGCCACACAATCCCTGGCCATATCCACATCCTACTGGCTAACCTCTATGTGGTGGTTCCCCCAGCTCTTAATCCTGTGGTCTATGGAATGCGAACCCAGCAGATCACTCAGCGGCTCAGGCATCTGCTGAGACTCTGCTGGTTTGGGACAGTGAGGAATGTGGGCCCTGAGTGGGCTTTGCCACAGGAATGAATGAACACTTATGTCCTCCAGACTGTGCCCTCAGCTGGCCAAGCTGCTGCAAGACCCATCTGGGCGGAGCTCTGACCAACAGAACCCCATCATCTGCCTCTCAACGGCCGTGTACTCAGCTCTGACCCTTTTCCTACTACAGGAGAAGAATGCACATGGAACTGATCTCTCCCTGCCTGAGTCTGCATCCAGTCTATTCCTGTTCTTCCTAACTCTGTATTGAGCTCCGTAAGTTTACCACACAAGAGTGTAGAGGGAGTCTGCCTTGGACAGTGAGAGACAAAGAGACCCAGGCCACAGCCTATCTCAGGCAACCTGGGCATCAGAGACTTGTCTTTCTTCATCACTCTGCACAGCCAGAATTAGATTAGTGGAAGGAAGGCCGTTCTAAGGGGACCCTTTGTACAAGGTCTAACACAAAGCAGGAACTCCAGGTTTGCTGAAAGGATGAAGAGAGCAGGGGGGTTGGGGAAATGACACAATGCAAATAAAATAGAACACCACTCTGTTCTGATGTGTTCTGGAAACTAACATGGTTTCTCACTTGGATGAATAAAATCCAGAGCCTGGGAGGCCTGTTGTTTCTGGGAGGTAATGAAGTGCTCCCTTAAGTTTCCTCGTTTTGCTCAGACACTGAGGCTCCTGCTGTTTTCCAACTAATGCCATGGACTAACTGCATTTGGCAACATACAGGAACATAACCCTGCACCTGTCATCATGTTTTGTGCTTTATCACTTCTTCCACCTTTCCTTTCCTCTATACCTACCCCCATAAGGTGCCATAGTTCTAGTGACACCTATATGGATACTGATCCTGGATAGTTTCCGGACTCCATGCAGTTGAAGTTTTCCCAGCCTAGTCCTCTTTCACATTCCTGACACTTGAGGCCTCTCTAGTCCCCAGTGAAGCCAGGCCCAAACAGGTGATGGAGAATAGATCCATGTCCCTGGGCAGGTTCTAAGTGTGGAATCTCTAAAGTGAGAAGAGTATTATCTCTCATATAAACCAAAACCAGTTGCCCTCGAGTCTACTTTGGCTTATGGCAACCCAGTGTGCCAGAGTAGAAGTGTGGTGCATAGGGTTTTTAATGGCTGATTTTTTTTGAAGATCACCAGGCCTTTCTTCCAAGGCACCTCTGGGAGGACTTGAACCGTCAACTTTTTGGTTAGCAATTGACCACGTTAACTAGTTGGAACACTCAGGGATTCCTAAGGATTGCTGAAAAGACCACTGAATTCATACATTTAGCAAAGCTCTTAGCTATTTTCCCAGAAAGGGAAGTGTGGGCTTCATATACTTTTCTCTACTAAGTATTAAGGAAATTATTTTAAAGGATAAGATGAGTAATGTGCTTATAATTTCTGAAGTTGGAGTTGCCGTGAGAAGTAGGAACATAATAAAGGATAGAGACTGTAAAACTTCAGAGGCCAAATATCTCAACAGAAAAGATAGGAGACCCATTCCTCATAGGAAAACTGACAGCCATCTAGGTATAAGACTCCTCACTGTCTAAGAAGTATTGATGAAGAATGTCAGAGGAGGAGAGCACTGTTCAGGGTAGCCAGGACTAGGAGCACTGGAGGAACTGTGGCTCCTTGGCTGAAAAACAAAACAAAACAAACCCACTGCCATCGAATCAATTCTGATTCCAGTGACCTCCATAGGGTTTCCAACACTGTAAATCTTTATGGAAGTAGATTGTCTCATCTTCCTCCCATGGAATAGCTTATGAGTTTGAACTGATGGGTTACTAACTTCTGGTTAGCAGCCAGATGCCTTACCCACTTCACCACCAGAGCCTCTTGGCTCCTTGTGTAAGCCTCAGTAACTAAATTCTTACCTCTCTACAGGGAGAGACAGAGGACTAGAGGTTCCATATCCACCTGTGGCTGACTACAGGATATTGGGAAGGAGTTTTCATAGAGAACAGGCAGTGGAGGCACCAGGACTTCTGATTAGGGGACATATTTGAATAGTGGAAGGGGGTGATAATGTGGAATGCCTGGGATAAGGAGGAAAATTGCCAGAATCAAGTGAGGGTATCTAATAGAACAGGCCAGTACTGTGCTGAAATAATCCCCCAGACAGACTCTTTGGCTTTCATCCCAAAGCTCATGATTAAGTAAATGACTTATATCCATGAGATTGAGCAGGTAGGGCTACATTTCCTTCTACAGTATCCTCTCCTTTGAAGTTAAGAGAAAGGCTATAATCCCTCCTGAAAGGGACATACCCCAAGGCCCCTACAGGATATCTCAGGCTTTCCTTAATCTGTTCGGACAGGAGGGCCTGGCTGGGCAGAGGCAGAGCTCAGCTTAGAAATGGATGAGAAGACCTGTTTGTAGAGAAAAACCTGTCTCCCCCCTATCTTTGGAGGCCCCATTTTGTCATTATCCTCTTTTTACCCCCAGGCCCTCTCCACACCCTCTCATGCTCTCAGACCTCCCAGATGTCATGGTCTGTGCCCCCCTCCCTACTAAGACTATTCACTGGAACTAGAAATAAATGCCCAAGGGAAACCCAAGGATTTACTCTACTCTTGCAGCTGATGCAGCCTGTCCTAGCCCTCTTGACCTGCTTACTGTTACTACTCCTAGTGATTCCAAGGGGACAGCTCCAGGTACAGGCAGAGTGGGAGGGATCATGAGCAGCAGGGGAGATTTCTCTGTGTTTTGGTCTTGTTTTCCTCACTGCTCTGAGATTACAAGAATCCCCAAGTTCTAGTTGGTAGTCAAATGCCTTAGGCACTACACCACCGGAGCTCCCCCAGGTTCTGGGACAGAGTGAAATTGGACAGACCTGGGAAGGGAGGGAGAGAAGAGTAGTATACCCTCAAAACAACCAAACTCACTGTCGTGGAGTTGGATCTGACCCATAGCGACCCCTCCTTGGGTTTCTGAGGCGGTATCACTGTGGAAGTAGATTGCTCAATCTTTCTTCCAAGGAAGCCTTCTGGTTAGCAGTCAAATGCTTTAGTTACTATGCTATCAGAGCTCCTAGTATACCCTACATGGTCTAAATTTCCCTGGCTTGTGTGGGCATAGGATAAGAGAGCTAAGACAAGGAGGAAGGTAACAGAAGGAGAACACCCTACTTTACCATGAGACTTTCTGTAAAAGTCTGCCACCTTCTTTTTGTGCTAAGGGTACTGTTGTTGTTGTTGTTATGTGCCGTCGAGTCGGCCCCGACTCATAGCGACCCCTCCTTGGGTTTCCGAGGCAGTATCACTACGGAAGTAGGATTGCCCAACCTTCCTTCCGAGGAGTGGCTGGTGGGTTTGAACCGCCAGCCGTCTGGTTAGCAGGCAAGTGTCTTAGCCACTATGCTACCAGAGCTCCTCTAAGGGTACTAGAGTTAAGGAAAACCAGCCTAGGCTATTGTAAGCTATGGGATCTCTGCCTCATTATCCTCAAAAAGCTAAACTATTGGGCTGAGGTTGCAGGTAGAAGACATAGCCATATTAACCACCATGGCCAGAGAAGCTATAGGTGAGATTTCTCAGAGGAACAGCAAGCACCGCACATCTCAATTCTTGAAAGGTCTATAAGAAAACCCCAGCTGGTACCACAGTCCCAAACAAAAACTTGGGAAGGAGTATTCTATCTCATAGTGGCTCATCTCATTTCAAACAGCAGGTGGAGAGGTAAGTATAAGGGGATTACAGTAGTTAATATAAATAAATGACTGTTACCATAGACCGGTCACTGTTCAAACTGTTTTGTTGTTAGGTGCCATCAAGTCAGTTCCAACTCTTAGTAAAACATAGTGAAATACTACCTGGTTTGGCAGCATCCTCACAATCATTGCTATATTTGCAACACATTGTTGCTGCTGCTATTTCAGTCCATCTTGTTGAGGGTCTTCCTCTTTTTTGCTGACCATTTCTTTGCCAAGCATGATATCTTTCTCCAGGGACTGGTCCCTCCTGATAACATGCCCAAAGTACTTGAGACATGGTCTTGCCATCTTTGATTCTAAAGATCACTCTGGCTGTATTTCCTCTAAGACAGATTTATTCATTCTTCTGGCAGTCTAGGGTATATTCAATATTCTTCACCAACACCTTAATTCAAATGTGTCAGTTCTTTGGTTTCCCATATTCCTTGTCCAGTTATTGCATGCATATCTAGGCAATTGAAAATACCATGGCTTGAGCCAGGCACACTTTAGTCTTCAAAGTGACATCTTTTCTCCTTAACACTTTAAATAGATTTTTTTTCTTTCCCAGCAGATTTGCCCAGTGCAATACCTCATTTGATTTCTTGATTGCTACTTCCATGGGCATTGATTGTGAATCCAAGCAAAATGAAATCCTCGACAACTTCAATCTTTTTTCCTTTTATCATGATGTAGCTTATCGGACCATTTGTGAGGATTTTTGTTTTCTGTATGTTGAGATGTTTTATAAATATTGTATTCATACATATTTATGATTTTTCAAAGAGAACAATAAAGTGTAATTATTATCCTCATCAAACAGATGAGGACACTGTGACACAGAGAGATTGAGAAATTTATAAAATGTCACCAACTTGGAATTAGAACTTAGGCAGTCTGGCTTTAGAGTCAGTAGGGTTGACAATATCACTAAGGTGATAGGCAAGGAGCAGAAAGCCCCAAATTATGCACCTTCCAGCCCTAGAACCTCCTTACCAACTCTATTGTCTTAAGTAAAGAGACTGCCTCCCACCTCACTTCTGGCCTGCATTACATACTCCCCTGACACAGCTCAGCCTGTGCAGTTCTCTTTGGTTTAAGGGCATAGAATCTAGAACACACATGGAACCTAGGGCAACTCACAGCTTTGCCTCTTACTAAACATATTCAGTGAAATGCTTTTTAGATTCTCAGAACCTTTTCTTTTTCTATAAAATATGGGTTATATTCATACTCTGCTATGTTCTTGTAAATAATAAATATAGTCCAGTTTCTGGTGCCCAGTAGTCTGTAGTTCTGTTAATATTAATCCCCTTTTTGGATGATTGGGAACTCTCTGTCC